AGGATCTAAGCATGAATCCTTTGTCGTTTAGGCCAAACAAGCTTTCCATCCCCTAATTTCGATTAATCAGTACCAAACATAGTGTGAAATAATGACACTGCTGTGTGCATCGGCTGGCCACACAAGTCATTGTATATTCCAAAGCGCAATCCAAAAGCCACTACGTTTTTGTGGAAGTAGGATGTGTGGCGCATCCTAAAAAAGGGTCGATCAAAGGGTCAACAGGTGCCTCATTCTTCATCTCTTTATTCAATATCCGCGTTTATTCCAAATTTCATGGTCTACTAGAGTTTCTGAATCGCTTTTTCTAAACTTTTTTTCGAGTTCGGCGCACCTTAAGATAAAGATCGATTACCAAATGTTTGTGTTCAGGATGACTGAACCAACTTCGTCCGCCACCGACTTTGTTATGCCGAGTAACCTCACGTTGGACATGTTTACCATAGAGAAGAAAATAGGCAAAGGGATGTTTAGTGAGGTTAGTTTTATGCGTGGTCAAAAGTTCTTATGTTTGTTCGCTTTTTAGGACAGGTTGAACCTTTATGAAAAGCTAATGAGGAACAGCTGTATTAGGAATGCCCTTTTACGGAAGACTGCATTACACACAGTTTTTGCTCCTGAAGTGCTATGATTGCAAGGTAAAAGGTGGCTTGACGTAAGCAACTTATAAGTTCTCATAAAAGACGCGTGCAACGACGAAGCCTGGTGGAATGGATGTAACAATACCTACTAGGCCAAACAGAAGCTATAATTGGAAATCATTCGACCTAAAGTAATTAATCAAAAGTTTCTCTCTACAGATCGGGCGGAAGTGGTGTAGTGGCAAGTGGCACGCTTACCACGCGAGCGGTCCGGGGATCAAATCCTGGGTCGTGAGTCGCCCGGGCCAACCAAGCCTTCCATCCCTCCGGGGTCGGTTAATTGGTACCAGACTTGTCTGGGAGGATAAAAACACTGACTTGTACATCGGCTGGCCCCCGCAAGTCATTGTATAGGCCACATCGCATTCAAACGCCACTACGAATGTAAATGGAAGTAGAATGCTTGTCGCATCCCAAAAAACACAGGATTGATCAACGGCAAATGCTTTATCCTTTACCAGGTTGGTCCCCCGCCAACCGCCGGGACCTTCTTTCACAGCGTACGCTTTACGGCCTAAAATCACCTTACGAAAGCTAATTGCATCCTAGGCCTGTTGGGGGTGGTTTCCCGCCTACCCTCCTCGAACACTTCACCCCCCTCTCCTCTCCTTCCACTCACCTTCAGCTGCCACCGCAGCACCATGTGAAATAACTGGAAGTGACCTCAGTAGGTGTTTATGTAGCCGTTGGGGTGTTATCACAATCATGCCATTGCAAAACACTAATAGCTAAAGTCCTGTGAGCTACATGATTCTGTTAGCGGTTTGTTTATCCCATGAGCTTCCTTCTCACTCACTTCATTTTGCGGACGGACACACAGACATACATACATACATACACACACATACAGACATACAAACCGACACACAAGTTAGCGCTTTATAAATAGAAGGCTTCCTCATCTCTCTACAGCGGTGCAGAAGAGATGGAGCGGTGGCAGGAGGAGATCCAACCATTACACAAACCGACTACTAATTTTCGGTTATACTGTATAGTAGGCACCCTTCCCATCCTTATAAACTCGAGTAACTGGACCCTTGCTTGTTCGGGAGAGCAGGGGCGACCGTTCAGAGTCCGAACTTTGATAGAAAACGAGGCGTCGTGCTTAGCAAAAAAGGACCTATCAGTTCTCACCCCTACTTATGTAACTACACATTCAGTAGTTTTCAGTACTGAGGTGAGCTTAATTAGAGCCTTGTATTTGTATCGTAATTTAGAGATTCGATGCCAGTGATCAACCAGCGATTGTCTGAACTGGTACATCAGATTTATTCATGAACTCGATCCCTTGTTCCAGGTATTTCGGGCGAAGTGCGAATGGAACGGTCAAATGGTAGCTCCTCAAGAAAATTCAGGTTTTGTGTAAGAATCCTACATACTAGGCTAGTCTTGATCTACCTTGAGCTTATTGTTGTTCTCTGTTTCTAGGTATTCGAAATGGTCGATCAAAAAGCTCGATCAGGCACATCGTCTGCACGACACAGATTGATCTGTTAAGCAAAATAAGACCAGTCAACGTTATAAGGTTTAAGCTCAACCAACCACTTTATACACCAAAACTACAAATGAATATTGTTCGCAACGCAGCACATTTTACTTAATATGAGTGCTCTGAATTTCAGGTATTACGCTAGTTTCATGGATAACAATCAACTGAACATTGTGTTGGAGCTCGCCGAAGCAGGCGACATGAGCAGAATGATTAAAGTTGGTGTGAAATCCGTTCCCATTCACATTCACTGTTATTTTCTGGTCTCACCTGTACACATCAATCAACAAGACGTTTCTTCAGCATTTCAAGAAGAACGGTCGACTGATACCGGAGAGGACAATATGGAAGTACTTCGTGCAACTGGTCCGAGCACTGGCTCACATGCATTCGAAACGGATAATGCATCGAGGTGCGAACTTGCTTTCTTTGAATAAAGATGGTACGATAGATTGGTTGCTCACTGTGAATGACGAGTCACTAAGAAGTGCAGAAATGACAAAAAGTTAAGGAGAAAAGCCTGAAACCCGCAAAATAGAACTTTGTTTTCAAGGACTAGAGCTTGACTAGCTGATTAGAGGGCTGCATAGTCGCTAGAGAATCACTCATCATCACTGTACATACCTCCAGTGAACTAATAGGGCAAGGCCCTGTTAGGCCGCCCACGGGTGCACCTTTGCAGCGCCTCGTCCCGCTCTCTCAAGGGACCTTCTTCCTTTCATAGTAAATATCATTCGTTTTTTCGACCTCCAATATATCATGCCATTTGCCGTGTTAGGTTGTTGGCGAGCGAGTGAGTGGATTTTCGGACACAAGCCTCCATAATAACTTCTTCACGTAACCGAAAAGTTGCACAAGTGTGGCATCTACCAAAGCGTGGAATCAGATCAGCGTCAAGCATTGAGTTATAGAGGGGGGGGGGGGGTGTCAGCAAAGTGATCGGAAATTGCAGGGTTTAGGGAAGGCGTCAACCCTATTTGAATGCTAAGTGAGCGAGAAGTAGATGAAAGAGGAAGGAAGGAAGGTTCATTACCTCCCACAAATTACTTTTACCACTGCCCTGATACTATCAAGTGCTTCAAACCGAATATTTCATTCTATTGGAACAGCACTGAAACCTGCAGCGGATCTGGAAGCCTTCTAAGCACTTATAAGCTGCACCTTTCTAGGAACAGAAAGAAGCCTGCTTCTGAGTTTTGAAGGATTTCCCTTACAGATGTCATCGAGGCAAGTGGTGTATAAGCGAATAGCACAATTTCCTATGCTCATGGCCTGGAAGGTCAAACCTCGAGCTAACAAAGCCTCCCATCCTTCTGGGGTCGGTCTATTGGTGGCATAATTGTCCAGGAGGATGAAAACACTTGCACATCGGCTGAACCCACAAGTCGCTGACGCCTTCTGGGGTCGGTCTATTGGTGGCATAATTGTCCAGGAGGATGAAAACACTTGCACATCGGCTGAACCCACAAGTCGCTGACGCCTTCTGGGGTCGGTCTATTGGTGGCATAATTGCCCAGGAGGACGAAAACACTTGCTCATCGGCTGAACCCACAAGTCGCTGACGCCACATTGCCTTTGAATGCCAGTACGATCCTGAATGGGCAGTAAAATACATGGGTACACGGTACTCATACTCAGTTGATAATAACTTGAGAGCGCCACTCATTTTTTGTCACAAAGCAATTCAATTGGATATCTGGTGATCAGGAATGCATGGGGGGGGTACCGCTCATATTGCTCCAGACGAGTATGAAGAAATGGACCAGAGCTGGACTAGCCGATTAGAGCGCGACCTTACAAACCCTACAAACCCTACAAATAAACTATAGCCTCTGAAGTCATTTCTATAAGAGCTATCTCCTGTTGGCTATTGATGTTGTAGCGCTCTTTCAATTTGCATGTCTCATATTAAACCTCGAAACTCAGCTGTTAAATTTCTCATGCAACAGTTTTGATTTACTAGAAAAGGCTCAAACATCCGAATCGAGTCGCAGTCATTTTATTTTCGACTAGTTCCTTTTTTCAGACATCAAGCCTGCAAACGTATTCATCACCTCTGAAGGAGTGGTGAAGCTGGGTGATCTTGGTCTTGGACGGTTTTTTAGCTCCAAGACAACCGCGGCACATTCACTCGTGGGCACCCCGTACTATATGGTGAGCACCTAACGAGTTTTTTTTTGCTAATTAAGTATCAACTCCTACGACAGACCTATCATAGTTATTAGGATGGTAAGAAAGTCCTGAGCCGTTTGACACTTTTTTGTGCTTTACTTTTTTATTCCGCGTACAATGGAATCTACTCAACAATATAATCACCATTGTTACTCACTACAGAGTCCCACCTAATGGGCAGGTCAGCGACCCCCTTCTCCCAGAACTGAGCAGACTGAGAGTCAAAGAAATCGCTGACCGCTCTTTCAACGTCTTCAACTTTGGTGAATTTTTTCTTCGCTAGGAATGCCTTAAGGGGATGAAATAAGTGATAATCAGAGAGGGCAATGTCAGGGGAATAGGGTGGGTGGGGAACCGCGTCCCAGATCAGCTCTTCCAATTTTGCACGGGTCTCTTTAGCTATGTGGGGCCTGGGAGTAGGTGGACAGAAGTTCGTCTCGGTCGTTTTTCTCGAACAGCGTCCGCTAGTTTCTGGAGCTGACTGGCGTAAATGCTGCCGGTAGCGGTATGCCCTTGCGGGAGCAGCTCATAATACAACATTCCTCGCGAATCCCAGAGGCAGCAAAGAAGACAGCTTTTGGGGTGAAGGTCCGATTTTGCTTGTGTCGGCGGGTCTTCTCCTCGAGGGAGCCACACGGCACTGTGCTTGTTAGAATCGTAGAGGACCCAACTCTCATCTCTCGTAATCATGCCTTCCAAAAACTCCTTTCGGTGCGGACAAAGAAGGAGAAACTGACAAATGGGTACCCGCCTGAACCGCGTGCTATCGGTCAAGACATGAGGGATCCATCGAGTCGGCACTTTCCTGTGGCGAGGGCGTGGAGGGGACCGAGGACTGTGGGATGGGTGCACCCGAGTCTATCACAAGGCTGCGGGTGCTAACCTCCGGATCCTCTTCGACAGCGCCGAGAACGGTGGAGTCTTCCACTGTTTGGGGGCTTCCCAACCTTGACTTGTCTTCGGAAGCCGTGTCTCCTCCTTCGAAGCCTGCGAACCAGAGCTTGGCACTGATGATGGAAGTGGTGTCCCTTCCCAATGCGATGCTGATAATGTTGACGGTTTCCACTGCTCCTGTGCCGCAGCGCCATTCATTGAAGATGATCGCTCGAAAGTGCTCTTGTGGAATCGACATCATGATTAAAGTTAAAGAAGGCAACCCGGCTATATATACCTACTGCGGAGAAGTATGATCGACAGCGATAATCTATCACGTAGCAGATTCTAGGTATCGATCAATAAGCGAAAGTTCTGGAGCTTTCGAAAAATCGGCTCAGGACTTTCTTACCACCCCAAGTATTTACCTAGTGCTCGGTTCTTTACTTAGGAAGTTTTTTCTTCAGTATTTCGCTTTGCAGTGATGATGACGCTTTATTTCACGTTCTTTTCAGTCTCCTGAACGGATTCAAGAAAGCGGCTACAATTTCAAATCGGATTTGTGGTCAACTGGTTGTCTGCTCTACGAAATGGCAGCGTTGCAATCACCGTTCTACGGGGACAAGCAGAATCTTTACTCTTTATGCAAGAAAATAGAGAATTGCGAATATCCTCCACTGCCTGCGGACATTTATTCTTCACAGGTAACATTAGCGCTTTCAAATTCACCTATTCAGTTGTTGATTCAGTAGAGAACATAAGGTTGGCGGAGTTGTCCTTGGGTTGAATGAACTGCCGCAATCGGGCCGAGCCCTGTTCAACTGCGATTCGCAGCCAGGAATATCATATGGAATTCAAACCTAAACTCGAGTTCTATAAAAGACCGACGAAGCCCACTATCACTGCGCATCATTAAGTGAAACCAGAAAGCGTGGAGGCTGAAAACTATGACCCGAACATTTTCTTTCTCCGAAACTCCTTATGTAGGCCGTTTTGGGTACGATCAGGACGGAAGTACGGGTGGCAAACAGAGTAGCTGGCGCATCACACAAAAAGATATCCAATCTAATCGACAGGGAGAACGAGGGAGGGAAGGATTGGGAGAGTAGAAGGGAGGGAGGACATAGTGCTGCCGTTTCAGCGGTGGTAAAGGGTAAGGTAGAGACGTAGAGAGGAGAAGATTATGCAGGAGAACACCGCTTCCAAGAGGAAGGGCTACAGCCGTGTTGACGTATTACTCTAACTTAATGTCTCTGTTGTGATTCTGATAACACCCACAACGGCTATGTAGACACCGATCGAGCACACACTCAGTCTCATTCTATTATACACAGTGGAAGGACACAGGAGAATGAAGCTTACTCAGAGAAACAGCGCCCCGGCGGTTGACGAGGGAGCGATCTGGTTATTTATAATTATGGGTACTGTACGAGTCATGGCTCCCGTTATAAAGGAAGATTAGTGCAAATCACCTCATCCCTACCTCCCTGGAGAGCATGGAGAGTCCATCTCGGATGAGCAATCACTCGCGGATTAGAAACGATTTTTGCCAAAATCACTCTCGCTAGGAAACCTTGTTCCAGATAATTGTAAGTGTCTTACTCGCATCTGAAGTGTTGATTGTACCACTGCTTTTGAAATGATTCATCGCCCAGATAATTGATCGGTGCAAAGTGCAAATAATTTGACATATGATTTGCCAATTCTTGTAATTTACGCTGGCAGTAATCGAACCTTCTTGGTGGCGAATCGATTGATTCAAATGTTTCTTTTCAGCTTCGAAGTCTCGTCTCACACTGCATATCTTCCGATCCATCGCGACGGCCTGAAACGAAAGTGCTCGAATCGCTGAAAGATGAGCTACTATTCCAACAGTACAGCGAGACCACGAGCAAAAATGAATTTCTATTTATAGAACTGATTTCCTGAAAGTCGAGTCGCGTTGCATTTGGCAACAGAATCCAGATATACGTTGTGGAAATTATGTAGCGCTCATAAGGCACTATGTAATAATCAAAGCGACGGTCATGACAATAGAAAGTTTTCACAGCAACTGGGTTATCCGGTGCGGTCAGGTTTCTACACAAAGCAAATAATAAAAAGTAGGTTAAAGGTATCGACTTAAGTTTCATCCAGTGGGCTCAGCGTGGTCACTGCTTTCATCAGAGGCGCAAAGTTTTTTGTTACAATTGGACAATTACTTACCATAGGTGCATTCTTTTCTTCCGCTCTCATGCTGATAAAGTCTGACGGTAAGCTTCAATGGGTTTAACATAAGGGTACAGCAGGCTTGCCATTATTTTTTCGGATAGGGGAATACGCTGTGTTTTACCTCCTTTAGGGAATTTTGGAAAAAGCTGAAGACCATCTGATTTTCAATACTAGTATTTGCTGTTTTTTTTTTTGTATTTATCATTGTGCTCTTTTTATTTTCTATATCTTATTTTTTTATTTTTTTTTTTGGCTACACATAAATAAAGATAAATAGCGCTGCATGATACGGAGTTGCGCCTCATTTCGTAATAATGTCCTTCTTTGTAATGTCTAGTCAATAACTGTTTGGGTTCACTGTGTATCTTCACCTCTTGATCGTAAAATGCCCTCTTTATACCGACCGATTATTCACAACTAGACTGCAAGAAAATCTTCACTGCAGAACAGCCATCTCACTGGTCCTCCTCTAAAGCGCAAGGAAATGAAATGGAAGGGTAAAGGCCGCGCTTAAGAAGAGAATCGAGGATCTGACCTAGGCTCCTTTGAACGGGTTTCACCAATTTGCCTTTTATAAGACGTTTTGAGCACGTGTGAGGGACAGGACTCGCGCTTATATGATTCCCTATGTAAGAATTTATGATAAGTCAGAAAAGAGAAGTATGTATGGTAAAACGACCGATTTGAAAGCACCATATCTCAAGGAACGAAGTTTTCTCGGAATTCCTCTTATGATTAGGGGTTGCTTTTGTTTTACATTCATCGCTGCTCGAGTTGTGTGCATTAGTGTTCGTGTACACGTGTCCATCAAAGCAAAAGTAGCAGCAGGGTTTTGACTTTGGACACTGATGGTGTGGAACGATGCGCTAGCCCTAGTCAAGAACATAAGAAGTGTGACTGAACAAAAATTCACTTTGGAAAACCGCTAGAAGGGAGCTGAACGCCTTCGAAGTGGGCGTGGTTGAATCGGCCGTTGTGCAGTCCCCGGCCGATTCAACCACGCCCACTTCGAAGCCGTTCAGCTCCCTTTCTAGCGGCTTTCCAAGGTGAGTTTTTTGTTCAGTCACACTTCTTATGTTCTTGACTAGGGTTAGCGCATCGTTCTATCATTAGTGTTGAAGGTGAAAACCCTACTGGGACTGTTGCTTCACTATATTTTGAAATGGGAGAATGCCACATTCCAACAAGTTTATCTCTATGTCTTCTTCTTAATGCAGATTCACACCCCATTGAAGCTAATGCGGTGTTTATTGCTATAGTAGTCTGGACAAACAAACGTTTTTGTTTTCGCGGTTCCTGGGCAAACAGTAGTGAGTATAACATCTGATTGTTGATGGTATAAGACATATTTTTACGATTTGTATTCCAAATTAAGATTTTTGAACCAGTGTAAACAGTAACAACTTCAGTAAAGGTACTTTCTGCGTTTAGGCTTAGCGAATCAAAAGTTTCAAGAATTAGATGAGACTTAAAATCCACCGAAAACACAGACTGGCGATGAAGCAGCTTGAATACGGTTTTAAGACCGCAGAAGACTCGTTAGCCGTTGGATTCGTACTGAATAGAGAATAACCCTTCTCTTTTTTTTTGATTTTTTTCTCCATTTTTTAATGAGATCATTGGGGCTGATACCTCTAAGTATTCCCTCGATCTCCCGAAGGTTCATCATTTAGATTCAATACACCAAGCCGCTAACAAAGCCTAACCGACCTTTCTCATCTCTTGCGGATAACAAAATAACCAAAGCCAGGGATTATACAGGGTGGGCCAAAATTATGAGGACCCGTGTGCGCGCGGTCATATCCACTTTTTTCCGAGTCGCTCCATTTTCATCTCCTTTTCTGTGCACTATGTGAAGGGTACAATGTCTTCTTCCTAATGAAACTTTCATGCAGTTCTCAAAACTAGTGAAATAACTACATCACTTACGTCAGTCCTCAAATTGAACTCACTAGGGGCTCTGGCACGTTACATCTAGCGGCAGTTCAACTTATGGGCTAACAGTTCAACGCTTCAATAAGTTTGGAATCACCACAGATGGAAAATTCGGAGACTCGAAAGTTACAGTTACCACCAGGACAATTATCAGATGCAGAAACTAGGTCTCCCCTTGTCGACTTTCGTACACCCAAAATGAAAAATTGATGTGAAAACCCAGCCAGACACTCTAAAGACTCCACATCTGTAGTGGATAGAAAGCCACTCGAGTAGTCTACTTGGAACTTTTTACAGGACCGAGCACCCAATCGTAAAGCAAAAATTCTCCGAAAAGCGATTTTTCGAGCTTAATTGCTTTCGAAGAATTGTTACCTAGGAACCCGTTACGTAATATTTCAAGATTTCCTGTATGATACACCGTGGAGGCAAGCGCAAAT